TAGGGTTGTACAAAGCAACAGGTGATCGATTCCATTGGTTGAACTTTCCCGCGCATATTTGTGATTGGTCGAAATTTCCCTGGCTCGACTCGGCCTGCTGCTCAGCTCGTCATTTCTATGGAAACTCGTGGATGCAAACTCAAATTTCTCAAATTTCATCAGACAAAATTATATTAAACATGTCTCAAAAAATTTCTAATTTGTTGAACTATTTTTCATTCAAATTTCATCAAATTCGCTTGGGCACGATTGGTTTTGCCATAAGGGGCTATCGTCAAGAATAAACTTTCGGGCGAAAGCAATAGGCACCGCTAATCGCGGGCCTAAAAACGGATACAGGGAGCGGTGGTGGGGGCGGGCGCGTGGAGGAGCAGCAGATGGAGGGGAGCCTCCCCGCCCGCCCTGCTCCTCCGCGCGCCCACCGCTCTCTGTATCCGTTTCTGTTCTTCTTATTGACGGGCAGCGCTCCATTGAAATACCCTATTTGTGCGGCTAAGGAGAGTGCGCTATTGCTGCTTCACCTCCTTGCCACTTAAAATGTCAAAATCGTCTTAAACGCTGTCTTAGCAACGGGCGGGGCGTCGTAACTTAACGTAAAAGCACAAACCGGAAATTAAATTTTTAAAACATATCCAAAACGCTTCAAAAACGCATTAAATGACAATGTTATTTTTCAGTTTTATGCATAACTTACGCCACGTTCCGACGCCCTGGCGTTGGGGCAACCAAGTGACGCTTAATTGCCGCATCAGTTGCACTCTGCAACTTACGTTTTTTCCAGGAGTGTCTGCCAGAACACTAAACTCACGGCTCGGAGGCGGCCGAGAGCCTCCTGCTGTTTGATGACCTGGACTGCTTTCGTGGCCTCCTCCGGCCCACACTTCCCTCCCATGTCTACGGCGATCGACAGCACCCTGGCGGCGCACGAGGTCGTCCGCAGGTCGGCGTGGCGACACGACAGTGCAGTCGTGACAGAGGTCGAGATCTCGCGCAGGCACGGCGCCAGGCGCAGCACTCGACAGCACTCGATCCTGGCAGACTTGGAATAGTCGTCCACGTCAAGGTGTCGATGCCGCCACACGTCGGGGTGCTGGGCCAGGCCAGCCAGCCGCTTGCACACGAGGCGGCAGGCCAACACGTCCACGACGCACAGGCGCGACATGGCCATGGCCAGGATGTCCTCCGGCAGCTGATCAAGCTGTGGGGGCAACATCGCGCACGTCAGATGGCATGGCGAGCTTCAAGTCACGACGGGCACATACTCTTTGTTGATGTTGACAAACACTTACCATGGTGGTCGAGTCTGGCGACGTCAGGCGGACGAGAGCTGGCCGTACCTTTCTTTCCACGCCGAGCGGCGGACAACGACTGACTGACGTAACGTCAGTGACGTTCGGACTCGGACGTTTGCGACCACGGTCGGTGGAGGGAGATTAGGGAGATACGGTGGGGACACTGGGGTAACTGCGCTTGTCACGATTTCCGCCTCGTGTCTAGTACCTGAGCACGCCGCCGGGCGGCGCTCAACGCAGGATGTACTGGGGCGTGGCAGCTAGTCGACGTGACAACAAAAGCGTGCCGGCTGGGGGGGGGGGGGGGGCAATCTCCGCAGTGTAGGTCCGCCAGCCCGTCTCCGCCTCTCCGGGAATTCCGAACGACAGGGGGCGCTCTAGTGCGCGGCCGGGGCCCCGCAGTCGCAGCGGCTGAGTCGCTCCTCGCTCGACGTCTGAGTCCAATTACTTTTTGGGTTCGTCACGCACACTCATCTCACGGCTGCACTACGGTAAAGGTAGGGTAGTTGACTTCGGCGTGTAGACGCCAGTCATTTGCTCCGAGATGCGCGGTGTTTTGCGTACTGACGTGTCGACATCGTTGGTTGTAGGGTCCGAGTGAGCGCGCTACCCAGTACGCTGCCCGCTATCCGACGAGGACCTAACCCGTCGCAGCGTCGCCATGTCCGCCGAGCAGAAGTCCTTGCACCAGCTTCCAGACGACGTCCTGGTGCTGGTGATGCAGCACCTCGCCGTGAACGACCTGTTCGCCTGTCGGCTGGTATGCCAGCGCCTCGCCACTCTCGCCCTGCACCCGGAGGTATGGCGCCACCGACGGCTCGACGACAAGACCTGCGTGTGCGCGGTGCTGAGCCTGGCGCCCTGCCTGGACAAGGTCGTCTACAGCAAGAAGGCGCACACCACAGCATTCGCCACGACGAGATGCGCCGTGAGACATTTGACACTGCACATCAAAAAGGGTACTGAATGTGCTCTGGCCTGCCTGGCGGTGCGCAACCAGGAAGCACTCGGCCGTCTGAGGAACGTGGAACTGGAGGTGTGGTATTCTTCCGAGGACGTTGCGCCCCTGGACGGTGCTGACGCGTTGTTGAGGACCTTAGTGGAGCGTTCTTCTGCCTTGGAATCGCTCGACCTGCTAAACGGTCTGCCCGAGCCCTATGCTATGCGCCCTGTTCTCCACGGGCCGCTTCGGTCGTCCCTAAGGTACTTTCGATGCAGCCTCTCAGAAAGATCTGAAAACTTCGTGAACACCGTGCTGGCCGGGCATGCGGCTACACTGCAGGAGGTCCACCTCGGCCACGAATACTGCGAAGAGAGCACCTTCGAGTTGTTGGTCGGCATGTCCGAACTAAGAGGGCTAACGTGCAAGTTGTTCCCTGGGATGCAGGCCCTGGCGTCGTGTGAGATGATGAGGGACGTGTCCGTATGTATGGATAACGAATATACCCCTGAAACTGTCGTGCAGGGGGCCGCCGAATTCTTTCGACTAGCCGGCCAGCTGCGCACAGTCTACATCGAATTTCAGTACGTCGATGGCGAAGAGGAAGACTTGGAGGACCTAATGAAAGCCCTTGCCTCGTCTGGAGAGTCCCTCGTGCATCAGTTATCCATCGTCAGCCTCCCAGACGCGCCGACACTGCTCCGCGCGCTGCCCCGGCTGCCCGCCCTCCGGGTGCTGGGCATGTTGAACTCGCCGCTGATCGATCCCATGGACGACGGTCGCATGGACGAGCTCCTGCTGGGCATCACGCCCGCCACGGCGCCGAGCCTGCGCCGTCTCGAGCTGTCGACGTTTGATTTAACCGGCTGCCTCCATGAGTGGCTGCACCGGGACGCGGTGGGGCAGGTCCTCACCGCTAACCCCTCGCTGCACGTGCACGTGTGGGGCACCCACGGCTGCAGACGCTGGGTTGCTTGCGAGGCGTGCGCGATGGGCTGCCACCGAGAAGTGACCGCGAACTACAACGACAACGGACGCCGGATCGGCTTCTTCTCGCACGGCCCTGGGACGTGCATGCATCCAGAGGACCACGACGTTACCAGCGGCAAGTGGACCTGGGTACACATTCGCTGCAATTCTGGCTGATTACTGTTGAATACAGGACGTAATAGAATATTTTTCATAATGTTGACATGTGGTTAAATAAATGATTTGGCTTTACGATAGTTGAACCCCCTTTTCTGAAAAAAGGTAGATGTATCATTAGATGGGCCAAAAATGCAAATTAGGAAACACCAAGTTCGATATCAGACTGGTTAGCGATATTCCATTTCAAAACTCGGTACAAAAGCGTTATTCCTGCGTCAAAAAATGTCCACGCGTACGTAACTTTGGAGAATAGGGATTTTCCGGGAATTCCCGAGCGGTGGCCTGCCCAAGACCCGTCCCATGACGGCCCTCCACACCACGACACTGCTGGCTGGCTAAAGGAAAAAGAGCGAGGATAGCTTGTGTTTTTCCTTTTTGGTAGAGGCAGACGGACCAGGGGACTGTCAAAATGTAGCCCAGATATTGTTATTTATCTCCATTTTTTTACGGTGCTCCTAAGAGCTGACGAAATATGTCGTGTACCTATTAACCGTACCTAGAAAAAGAAGGGTGAGAGGGGTACAGGCACAAGGCTGCTCGGTAAACCTTTATCACCCCTCTGCCTTATATCCAGGTCAAGTCATGCAGGCCGGGCTGCGCGCTGTGCGGCGGCTGGGGCCGGGGCTGGGGCCGGGGCCTCCAGCTGGAGGTGGTACTACACCCATCTGGGCTGTGTGCCGCGGGCCTGCTTGGGTTGACGCCACGCTCCGCCACGCCCGGCAACACAAACAGGAAGGGAACTTGGGGACGGTCCAGCAGCAGCCTTCCTCACCTCCACAGTGCCCCTCCCTCTCTCTCTACACCGTGCCCACCGTGCCTACCCACCACTCCAGCCCTCAGTAGTACTTCGCCCGGAACAATACGACGCAGTCGGACAGGGAAGCTTCTGCTGCTGCTGCTGCTGCTGCTGCTGTTGTCGTCGTGATTCGGATGTCATCATTATTTGATTTGCTGCTCCGGAAGGCGGGTCACTCTCTGCAAGCGCGCGGGGATAAAGCGACGCGGAACGGGGCGGCGTAAAGAGGGAAGAGGGCAGAGAAATAAAGAGCGGGGGAAGGAAGGGAAAGCGAACGATCGAGGGTTGGAGAAGGAGCGGGAGAGGGGAAGCCTGGCAAAAGTAGTCCTTTAATGACCGGTTCGTTTAACTTTTGTGTGTCCCAGGTAAGAGAGAGTGCGGAAAGGACTCTATCGACTGGAACTGTGGGGGCCGGGGGCGGAGCGGGGGCGCGGGCGGAGCGGGGGTAGAGTTATTGGAGACGCATGGGGTCGCCCCCCGCCCTATTGAACGTTGCTGCTGGGGGTTTCGCGCCGTCCCTGAAAGGTAGGCAAATTTCCGCCATTTCCACATCTGTAAGGGTCCGACCAAGCTCGCGCGTGTGTGTGTGTGTGTGCGCGCGCAAAGGGAGCAGTGGAGAGAATAGTAGAAGAGGGTAGGGGGTGGGCGGAGCTCCCTCTACTCCTTTCTCCGTCACGGGACAAATGAAAACGACGCTCGCCCCCCAATCATCTCGCGCGTCTCACTTGAGTGAATTTCCAATCCAAATTACTTCAAACGATATCCACCCCCCTCCCTTCCCCTTTCCCCGGTCTCTTATTTCCGATACCATCCAATTCAGCTCTGCTACAGGCTGCCTGCCTGCGTTCCCCGCATCC